CTGTTCTGTTCTGTTCTGTTCTGTTCTGTTCTGTTCTGTTCTGTTCTGTTCTGTTCTGTTCTGTTCTGTTCTGTGTCTAGCAAAAGCAGTTGCTTTCATTTTCACCCTCTGTTCTCATATCAGAACAATAGATTTCTGACATGTACCAGGGTTTCCAGTGGGCATCAAATAGTGGATCATTTCTTCAGCAGCTGGGTATCCTTAATCTAGTTCACTCCTGATACTACAAGAAGATAGTGTTTAGATATCATCCCAAGCCTGTAAGATTGCCTTCCAGGACTAGATGCCAGTCATGAACACTGGTAGTTTTTAATCTGTACTTTTGACTTATATTCTGGGTTTCTGTGATCCTTTCTTCAGTTTTAATTAATTCAATTGAACAGCTCACAAAACTCTGAGAGGCACTTTCTTATATTTATTTGTTTATTATGAAGGATAGTTCAAAGGACCCAGTTAAAGAGAGGCACAGGTGTGATTTGGGAGAGGGACTTGGGAGTTCTCATGCCCTATCTGAGCATGCTGCTTTCCAGAAACCTGCATGGGGCCAGTTACAAGGAAGTCTTTTGAATGCTGCTTTTTTTGTTTTATGGCATAAAGTCTGTTGAGGTTCTTCTCCTTTCCTTCTTCAAAGGGTAAGGAGCAGGAAGCCTCTGGAATAAGGAGGGTATTATAATAGACTAAAAGATCAGATCTCTCTCTCTCTCTCTCTCTCTCTCTCTCTCTCTCTCTCTCTCTCTCTCTCTGTGTGTGTGTGTGTGTGTGTGTGTGTGTGTGTGTGTGTAAACGATAGAGAACAATTCCAGTTCATCCTCAGGGATACCTTCTACCACTCTTGAGGCAAGGTGTCTCATTGACCTGGAGCTCACTAATTAGGCTACACAAGCTGGTCAATGAAAACCAGGATCTTCCTGAGTCTGCTTCTCTAAGTGCTCGGACTAAGCATACCTCGCATTTTTTAATGTGAACTCTAAGGATCAGATCTATGTCTCTGTGCTTGTGAGGAAGGCACCATACCAATTGAGCCAATTACCCAGCGCTAGAGAATTTTACTATGACCCCTGCACTTGGACATTATAGATTTTTCTATGACTCACATTGAAGAAGGAATTATAAGTCAGGGACAATGGTTAAAACCAAATTGTATATCATAATAAGCTCATATTTTGCCAACATATCCCCCAAATCTAATAATTTTAGAGCTAACAGTATCTGTAATAATTTTAACCTAATATTTAGTAAAAATATGATTCCAGCAATGAGAATAATAAAGGGGTGAATATTAGTTTTCACACAAATCCAAAGTTCTTGGCCCATGTGTGGCTCTAGGTTTCTGTGACAAGAATGCAGGAATACAGTGGTTTTGTGGCATCCATTGGCTTAGTTCTCCGAGGGTATTTGGTCCTTCATCTTCAGTGTTTTCTGTGGTTGAGAAATCACTGGTTGCTAGATTCTAGACCAGATATCTTGTCGAGTAAAATTTCCTAGACTATGCAAATAAGTTGGATAATTGAACCTAGAAAAAGAGATTAATCATTTTAACACATAAGCTAGATGGTAGATTGTCATCATTGCACAAGGTCTTCCTAGAAAATCAGTGGTGTGAAGCAGAACTTGATAAACATGGATCCTAGCGACTGAGGCTGTGAGTCATTTGCCTGAAGGAATCAGGGTTAGACTGGAACCACATGCTCAGCACAGCTGGGCTTCTCCATGCTGCTGTGCCCAGGGCAGAGTTGTGAGAGGTCACTATGTACTGAAAATGGCCACTAGTAGTGCAAGGTACTCTAGGAATGGGGTCTTTTGATGCCCCAGAGCCACACAGAAGACAATGAGGCACATTAGAGAAAGGACATTGGGACTTACAGAATTGTCCTTCTTTAATCGTTTTGCCTGACACATCTGGCAAGTGGAACACAAGGGTCCTGCACTCCCTAACTCTGAACCTCCACTGTTCAACACACACACGCTGCTGCTGCTGCTGCTCAGAGTTAATGTAAACCACCAGATCAAGTCTTTCAAGAGACAGCCTTCACTTAGGTTTTACAGAATACTGTCAGTACATGTGAAAAGTAATGATGGTAAATATGTTTACTGATACTTAAGAATGAAGCAATCCACTTTGAAATGTTAGGTACCGTTCTACTGAGAGTCTGTAAGGTATGTCTGAGGAAAATGCAGTCTACCTGTGGCTTAAATCACGTATTTATCCCATAGCTTTTCCCATAGCTCTGGAGAACAAATGATCCAGGCGAAGTTGTAGAAAACTAGGCTAAGTTGGGTCCCCCTCAAGTCTGTGAGGGAAACTCTCTCTGACTCATGCTCTCATTGCTCTGATCTCTGCCGCAGTCTTCTCACAGTGTTCCTAGAATCTCCCAGTTCAATCCAATAATGTCTAGCCCATATTTACATTAATATTTTGTGATATTTTTTGCATAAATATACTAATATTTATTTGAAAATTTACATAATGTGGTTGTTACAGGAATTTATTTTATTTATGCCATGATTTTATTCCGTTTTCCAACTTGATTAGTCCTTAACTCTAGCATAAACTGAGTCACCTTGGAAAGTGTACCACAACTGCTTCTTACCTTAAGTAATAGCTGCAGCTGGAGGTGAACTTATTAACGCAGCCTCAGTCTTCATAGAAGGATGCTAGAAAAAAGAGTCTCTGAAAAGCCTGGTACTCTTCTAATATATTTCATTCTAAATAGCATGGGTATTTCTCAAGATATCCATTATGATACTTCACTTTAAAGATATGTTTCCAAGCTAAATATTAGATGAAAGCCAGAAATTAATACATCTTAAAATTAAAGGTAGTGAAAGTCAAATATCTAACTAATAATGTTTTTCTTTTTTACTTTGGCTGCCAGGAAGCTCAAAACTAAACCTATGGCTTCTGCATAGCAGCTGCACGAGTCTCATGAAAACATGTTTCCTATCTCTTTGTTAACATTTTGATGTATAATATGACTTATCCCAGTAATTGGAAATTGTACGCTTCACTAAATTTGTATCTCATTAAATGCACTCTATAGTATCCTGTTTCAGCAGATTAACATAAGTTTAGTGCCTTAAAACAAGGCAAATTCACTTTAGTGTTCTGAAAGTCAGAGGTCAGAAATGGTTCCCTGGGCAGAAATTTAGGTATTGGCAGGGCTATTAGTCACGGAGAGTGAGAGGGAGGAGGCATAGACAGACCCGTGCCTTGCTGTTTGCCACCTCTAGAGGGCACCCGTACCTTTGTGTTTATGGCCACTTCCTGGATTTTCAACATCCTCAGTGTTCACATTCTTCTCCAACTCTGAAGCTTGTGCCTGAGCTCCCAACTTTCTTAATTATAGGCTCTTTGTAACTCAATGGGAAGCTATCTGCTCATCAAACATTCTTAACTATCAATCTAAGTCCCTTAGACCAGATGAGGTGACATTCAGAGTGTGGATCACAGGCACCAAGGACTTTGTTGGTCAAGATCATCAATCTAGACCCCCTACCTCTTTCTGTAGAATGGCGCTGGGCTAATACATGTTTTTGTACTGGAAGCTTTGACATTTTGCAGTTTAGTTAGCATTTTTGTTTTTCCCTTCTATTTATGTGTATTTGAGGGGGAGTATATGTATGCATTTGTGTTTTCATGTCAGGGCACATGGGTTTGTGTGTGTCTGTGTGTGTGTCTGTGTATGTGTCTGTGTCTGTGCGTGTGTGTGTGTGTGTGTGTATGCAGATACAGGTCAGTGGACCAATCCAAGCATTATTCCTCCTCAGGATCACCTTGTGAGTTTTTGTTGTTTGTTTTTATTCAGGGTCTGTCACTGACACCTGGGTCTCACCAGTTAGGGTAGGCAGGCTGGCCAAAGAGCTCCAGAATCTACCTGTCTTCAGCTCCACTGTGCTGGGTACAAAGAGTAGAACACAGTCTTTATGTTTGTGCAGGAAGAACTTTATTAACGGACCCATCTTCTCACCCTCTAATTTACGCTTTAATTTGGAAAAATTATATAACTATCATGTAAACATTGTCTATATCAATGGATACTTTGTTAACGTAGCCAAGGGTGGCACAGGAGCTGACTGGAGCTGACTGGAGTCGGAGCTCCTTATGTAAAGTCCTTTCCAGGAAGAGGCTTAGAGAATACTATTGTTTCAGGAGCTGTGATTTGATTTAAGCACCAACAACTTAACATAGTGAGCAGTTATAAAATTAATAGAAATATTTTGAGAGCTTGTCATTAATTGTTTTGACAGAAGACCTACTCATTTCCAGTAAGGGTGCTTTGTAAACTATATGACTTGTATGAAATAAGCATTGGTTTAGGCCAATATTTCTGATTTCTTGTTAATTACTTTAATTCTTTGTTGCTAAGACATTATTATTTCTAATTTAAAAATATATCAATCAAAATTAACTTGGGGCCGATCCTTCCTCCTTTCTTTACTTCTTCCCCTTCTGTTTTCCTTCTTTGTGAGCCGACATAATGTGTCCTTGTAATCCCAGAAATCCTCCTGCCTCAGCCACCTGAGTGATAGTGTTACAGGCATGAATCACCTTGTTTAGCTGAACTGAATAACTGTACTGTCTGTTGCTTTTTGTTTAAGTGGTTGGATGGCAAAGAAATAGAGCGTTCTGAAAGGATCCAGGCATTGCAGAACTATGCAGCAGTTGAACAGCAAATCAGAGATCAGGAGAAAGCTTACTGCCTCAGACGAGCCAAAGAGAAAGAGGAAGCTCAGAGGAAACTTGAGGAAGAAAATAAAAATGAAGACAAGAAGAAGAGCAGCCCAGGCTTTGATGGGCGTTGGTACACAGACATCCACACTGCTTGGTGCGTCCATCAGTGATTTGCATTCTTGTTAACTCCCATTAAAACACCAGCAGTATTTCCTCCCCAATGTTTCCACAGAATCAGTTGTGTTCCAGGACATAACATCATAGTGAGCTTGTCTGGGATGGATATGAATATCTCATGATGATGATTCTAGAATTTCTTCCCTTAGAAAAATTGCTTTTCCTAACCATCAACTGGCATTTGCATCTGAAATTATCCCTAGAGAAATCTCTTTAAACATGTACAGAGAAGATGAATTAACAGGTGTAGCGTGATTTCAAAGGCAGGAATAGTTTTAAAAAGTTAAATGCAAATCACACAATAATAAAATGAATAATTCTGATTGCATCATGAAACATTCTATTTTGTGAGTTACATAGTGAATACATTTTTAAATGTGATTAATAACCTTCTAATTGATCTTTTATGAATCTGAATTTTTCACGGTATTTATTTCAAGTGAATCACAACTATAGTCACTTGATTTGATTCTATATAGTTTTAAATATTTACATAATATATTTCTTATTGAGAAAACAATAATTATAAAATATTTCAGATGTACACAAGTGCTTTATAAACAATTAAGCAAGAAGCTATTGTTCCCCACCCAGACAGAATAAGTGACAGTCATTTGTATGCTTGCAGTAAATCTTTTAGAAATAATGAACTGTCAAAGGGAATGCTAGAAGCCTGCTGAGTACCCTTGTGTTGTGTTCTCCTTGTTACCCTCAGTGATGTCTGCTGCCCTGAACCCTGAATATAGTTGACATATATCTTACTGTGGCCAAGAATGGTGGCTCACTCCTTTTACAACAGCATTTGGGAAGCAGAAGCAGCAAGTCTCTGTGAGTCCAGGCCAGCCAGAGCTATCTAGGGACATTTGCCTATAGATATCTTAATGTAGTAAAACTTATGGTTGTCTTTCTTGTCTCACTTGTGAAATCCTTCATGACATTGCATCTGTGGATCGAGACTCAGCTCTGTCAGTGATGTAGGCTAGGGTATCCCTGATCTATTACTGAGACATTGGCTTAGTTGGGCAGGAAAAAGAAGCAACCCCATGCCCCAAGGTTTCAGGGAAAAAAAAAAAACCATTGAGATTCCCAGGCTACAGAAAGGGGAGATGAGCATCCTCCCTCTCAGCTTCATGAATATTGGGAAAGATGTGTTAATGAGTTGTAGCAGCTAGAGGACATGAGAGGGGTAGTGCCAGCATTTCACATGGTGACTATCTGGGACTATTTCACAGGCTAAGTGCCGATGTTAGGAGGAACCATGCTTGAGGTATTGTAAAGGGATTCTACCCAAGAGAGCAGTCTAAAAAGAGACTGTGGCCTGAATTGGCAGTGTCAGAAGCTCAGGAATTATCCCAGAAGGATCAACTAAGCATGTTGACTACCCCAGAAGGGGGCAATATAGTTGGAGAACTCATTGTCTGGGCAGAAAGGCAGCACCAGCAAGGTTACAGGAGCAGCGGTCACATGGCTGATACTCACCTTCTTCTCCTACCTGTCCTCTCAGGCCAAACATAAGGCTGGAGAATCCAACCAGGCATAATGATGGGCACAGAGATAAAAAGCAGATGAAGCAGGAAAGTGAGAGCAAACTGTGCATATCTCCCAGGCAAAACCCAACTGTGAGATGGACCAGGACAGATTGGAACTTGGATAGGGAATAAGGGGCTTCACCTTAGATGGAAATCTTGAGTTTTGTTTAAACTGTAGACGTCTTAAGGCCTGGACTTGAGTCTTAGCTGAAATGAAATTATTCTCAAGCAGTGCCTATGTGATTGTGGATTCTGCTGATGAGTTGGCCGGGGGAGAAAGAGAATGAATTTAAAGAAATGATGAAGAGAAGATTCTATGCATTCCCCAGAGAGCTCAGACATTTCATCACCAGCTATGTACACTTAGATTCAATCAGATTTTGAAGACTTAAGTTACTTAGCTAATGCTTCTGCTGGTTTTTATTTTCTAAAATCTTTTTTATATTTTCACTTCTTGAAAATGTCATGTAATGTATTTTGATAGTTCTTCCTTTTCTCCAACTCCTCCCATATCTTCCCCTCTCCCTACCTATCCACTTCATAATCTCTCTCTCTCTCTTTCTTAAAAAAACAAGATCAAAACCAGTTCTCTCTCTTACTTGTTCTCTCTCTCTCTCTCTCTCTCTCTCTCTCCTCTCTCTCTCCTCTCTCCTCTCTCCCCTCTCCCCTCTCTCCTCTCTCTCTCTCTCTTTTCTCTCTCTCTCTCTCTCTCTCTCTCTCTCTCTCCCCCCCTCTGCCACACACACACACACACACACACACACACACCACACCATACCATACCATACTATAATATATCACACCATTGAACCTGATTTGTGTTGAGCAACTACTTCTAGACATGGGGCCCACCCTGGAGTCTGGTTGATATGCTTTATTTATTCCAGTGGCATTCCAGCAGAATATTGTAGACTGTTACTGATCCCCCATAGGTTGATGTTTCTGTACCATAAAAACTTTGGCTGTAGGGTGAAGTCCATTTTTCAGTTATTTTCATGATTTTATTCATTGAAGTATACAGTTGCTTATAACATGTTTTTTTTAAAAAAGCAGGACATTTTCATATGCTCTGCCCATAGTATCTGAATTTCAGTATTTTTGTCCAATCAATGACTTCATAAAAATAGCATTCTTCCTGAAGATCAACTAAATAAATATTTTTTGGTAATGACCTCCAGTGATCTGGAAATATACAATGATCTGATATATACTGAGTTGTTTTTAATATACTTAGCTTCAGATACGTTTACACTGAATGTGTATTCTAGAGAGTGATGAGGGGAGAGAGGCTTCCCCAGTGCTTACTGTTCACTGCTATCGTCTCCTCTCTACTAGAACAGAGCCATGTCCTGAAAGTGACCTCATGGTCTGTCTTGCCCATGAATCTGGCTCAGTAAGTTTCCTAAATTCATGCTGAACAAATGCTGAATAGTTCATAACACACTCATTCAATTACACAGAGAGATCATTTAATTCCCAGACAATACACAAAACTGGGTAAATGAGAGAACAGAGAACTGCTACCATACAAAGTAGCATAATCAGAAGTTAACCATGAAAAATGAAGTGGAGGCCATACTCCGGAAAGGCTCACGTCTCTGAAGAGCATTTAGAGGGAGAAATTATTGAAAGACATCGAAGTAAAATGATCAAATTGTCAATTAGAGCCAGAACTCAATCAGAGCAGTATAGAGAGAGGATATGATAGGAGAGGACTGAATTTGGGGAAAATTGCAAAGGTCCTGTGATCTCTCTGCTCAGCTGATCACCTGTACCTCCTGCAAGATACCACATGGACCCATGGACCCCCTCTAAATCTACAAATAGATTCTGATGAGAGATCAGAAATCAAAGCTTCCCCAGGAACCCATATCAACTAGGCATACAAACGTTCAGACTGGGTACTGTGATACTTTAAAAAAACTGAGGATCTACCTTGGTTCTGGGACAGTAATTTCCTTCATCGTAGTTCGTGTGACCTCTCAATGACATTTGTCATTCACAGGTATGAAGTAAAGATAGGAAAGCATAAGGCACTTAAGAGGAAGCATTAGTGATGAAACTCCTATGTTCATAGTTGGGCTTACATGCTCTGGGTCTGTTTGCTCTGCCCAGCCCATATGCCATGGAGAATCAAGACCATCTCCAGGCACCAGAAACACAAGAAGAACAACACAACACAAAGACATCAGATGAAATTGAAGATGATCTGGCGTTCTGGAACAAGCCGTCTTTGTTCACCCCTGAATCTAGACTGGAAACTCTCAGACACATGGAAAAACAACGTAAAGCCCAAGATAAGTTAAGGTATTCGTTTTTCCTATGTCTGAATGAGTCACTCTCCTGTGGACTGTAGGTTCTCTCCATTGTACATGCTTTACCTATTGTCTGTGCCAAATCATTATTAACCATTATGTATGAATCTTGCCTTTTCCAAATACAGCTTTCTGATGAATTTTATTGGCTAACTTCATTAACATAAAAATACAAGTTTAGAACACCATGGATTATGATATTTGAGATAGAGTTTTGTTTTGTTTCCTTTTAGCCACTTTACATACTAGAAAGAGTATGGCTTAGGTATAGTGGAAATTAGTAAAACTCCTGGGCTGGGGCTTCTACTCTGCCTTGATCATTGAGTTAGCGGATAAAGATACAAGCACAGCCTTTTTATTTTCAATATGCCTTAAGCAGCACAAAAGCTGGGCAGCTCCCTCCAAGCTGTTAGAATCTATCTCCCTATCAATAACCCCAAGTTATTACTTATGATTTACTATGTTCCATCTGGGCTGCTCTTAACTCTGATTGGGCAGCCCTTGGGGCCATGCTCTCTTGACCCTTATCTCATGGTGGCTTCCTTCTCCTCCTCCTCCTCCTCCTCCTTCCCCTCCTCCTCCTCCTCCTCCTCCTCCTCCTCCTCCTGGTTCTCCCAGATCCAAGCTCCTGAAACCTCACCCTTACCTATGTCTCTTCTGCCCACCTATTGGCTGTTGGCATCTTTATTCACCAGTCACAATTAACTGGGGCTAGGGTCATTCAGTGCCTTAAGTACAGACTCTCTCGTCTTTGGAGTAGCCAGTCTTGGGGGCCCCAAATTAGCATCACAGTGCAGGCAGCATTAGGCCAACCCACTCTACCTAGGTTAGAAGTACGGTTAGAAGTACAGTTTAAGGCTCAAAAGAAAGAGTGATTCCGTGGTATGAAATCTTGAGTCTGTTTTGTTAATGTGCAAAATGAAGAATTAGAATTAGTTTCACTAAGCTTTTTCTTCTCATGGTACAACTTTCCTGGACACTTCACAGTACAATGCCACTTTAAGAGTTTGGATGCAACTTCACTACTTGTTAATTGCTAGGATCCCTAAGCAATGCTTGTGTCAACTGCACCTTTCCAGAAATAGGTTCTGTTTCTTTCCATTCCATGTCAAGACTGAAATCTAGTATACAAAATATATCCACTGACAGGAATACTTGCTATTTTTGCACTTGAGAATGTCATCAATTAGGTCTGAAATGATTGTCTACATGGCAGTGAGATGAATACAACACAATATGTTTTCTATGATTATCAATGGAAAGCAAGAAACTGAGTTGAAAACCTTCTAAAAGTCTCTACCACTTCCATAAAATGTTCTTCACTAGAGAGAGAGAAACACAAAGTGTAGTGACTTGGTCAAGGCCACATAGTGCCTTGAGAAGAGCAAGAGAGCAGCCTTAGAAAGTGAGTGTTCATGTCCTGACACCCCACCAATCTCTGTGATGCTTGCAAGTAGGACATAACTGGTCCTACTCTGTTAAGCAAAACACATCACCCATTTCAATATTCCACTGTGGGGTTTTTTGTTTGTTAGTTTTGATGAAATCAGATAAGTCAGTAAACATGAAGTTTTTATACAGATTTAAGAGCCCTTTGAAATATAAATTCGGTGTATCAGTAGACTTACAGTATTCCTAACATATGTATTTGTGTTCCTGAATATGTATTGTTTGTGACTATATATGTGTTTAATATGTTTATATAGTATAAGTAATTTATATCATACTAAGCCTAGAACCAGGAGCAAGTTATTTTTCCCTAACACCTTAAAAGTACAGCTGAGTTGCATGGAGTCTCAGTCGTGCTATTTAGCCTGCCTTTGTGTATTCAATAGTCATTTTATTAGCTGGGGGAAAGCATTAACAAAGGCCAGCCTTTTTGTCCTGTGTGTACTCTTGTCCACACTGAGAATAGTGAAGCTCTGTGTTTCCAAATTCCTTCACTGCCCTAAGTCACTAAAATAGCTTGATCAGATCGAGAGGATCAGTTAATGTGCAAATGAGTGTAAGATTGAAACAGTAAAGTTAACTAACACAAAAGCCCTATTTAAAAGACAGTAGAAATTCATGGCAGATGGTTGCCTATGGTTACATCATCCTTCCATGTGTCCACATCTGCCTATTCACACGTTCAAATGTTATCTGTAGTAAAGAAAAACATGTGCTGACTTTTTGCTTTACATAGTCCATTTTCCTCAATTTCACCTCTGCCACCATTCAGCATAGTAAGAATGAACAAACTTGGTTTGCTAGCACCCTGCTTTCTCGTCTCCCTGTAACTGTGTAAATCACTTCTAACCTCTGAATAAATCAACCTCTAACATAGTTTGTGTTTGATACAGTTGGTCTGGGACCAGACTCAGTGGTCCAGTAGTTTCCTGGCATGTATGCACCCTTGATTTAATCCTCAGCACTACACAAAAAGAAACTAAACTTCAGTGGTATATATTTGCTTGCTAGATACACCATCAACATTTTTCTCCATCACTGTGTAAAGAGAAAACACATTTTTTTAACAGCTGTGAGGTGTGTTCCAGTGTTACATTCCACAGTAGAGCTAATCAATACTCCATGGATAGATAGTCTGAGCAGTTCTGGACTTGCCACTGGAAACGATGCTGTGAGAAGTGTCAGTTTACACATTCCTTATGCACCAGTATTTTTATTTCCACAGGATGGATTTCACTTGTATTTCAAAAAATGGTAATTCCAACTAAAGCAGAAGCTCCATACACACACGTGGAGAATTGACAGTTATCTGAGTAAACCATGCATAAAATAGACTCATTTAAATATTCATGAGTATTTCATGAAAAGGAATTTACTTCCCCAATCCAAACTCCCTGGCAAATTGTTTTGGTCTTTGGAGATACAAATATAACCATGTAAAACTGTTTGGTTTTTATCGAGGAGTGAAGAATTAAGGGGACAGACTCTCAGTGAGCTATGAGTATGGTAACAAGTGCCTGATTAAATTTTAAAAAATTTTTATGATTTATGATTAAGTATCTCAAAGTAATACAAAGATGTATTAGTAACATTTATACCTTCGTTAATTCCTTGTCTATCCCTTGGTCTCTCCCATCACCCTCCCTAAACCTTAAGTGAGAAGAAAAAGAACTTGAAACCACCCCGGACTTTGATTACAGAAGATGGGAAGGCCCTGAATGTCAATGAAGCCAAGTAAGTGAGGCTAAGTGGAGACACTGCCGGTGGGGTGGCGCTAGTGAGCACACACTGCTGTGGCCTCAGTCACGAGCTTGCTTTGACTAGAGCATGTTGACCCCTGTGAAGGAGTTTGAGGAGTGTACCATAATGTTATTTTGTGCATGATTGAAAGCTAGACATCTCTATTTCTAGTGTAAAATTCTCCTGGTTTCTAGAAAACAATCCCAACATATGGAAATCTTAGATATCTATGCATCCCATGAAATTTTGGCCCATATACAGTTTTAAGCCTGAAAACTGTCACTGCGTCATCATCCTGTTTATGAATTTTTTTTTGAAATTCTGCCACAAGCAGTCTGGCTGAAAACACTGAGACACTCTCCTTCACGTCTACATTTTCCCTGGAACCCATCTAGTGAGCATTCAAAAATTCTAGGGAAAGGCATTGCTATAAATACCTCAGTAACAGAGAGAGAGAAAAAACCTGAAAACCCTCAAACCTCATAATATCTGGGCTACCCTGTCTATCTGTCTGTCTGTCTGTCTGTCTCTCGGAAAGCTGAGAATTAGCGAGCATGCCCACAGTGCCTTTTATAATCTCAATACAAATAACAAGCCTATAGGCTAAATCTCATTAGCTTCATTTCATTACTCAAAGCCCATTTATTGCCATCATTTCATTTGCTATGTCATTACCACAACAAAGACAATCTAGACGCATTGCAGGCATATCTCATCTTCACAGAAAGCATGGTTGGCAGACAGAAGATTGGCTCCTTAGGCCAGCGATATGGATATGGTCACATAGTTAAGCTGATGCATCCGACTTGTCCACACTGGCCCAGTTGTAATAATTTCTTGATCGGGGCTCCAGCTTCCCATATGACATGCCCTCCTTTCATCCAGCAGACAGGAATGCAGTTCCAGACAGTAGGACAGGTACAGCAGAAGCCACCTTCACCAAATCTGAACATCTTATGGGAAGACAATCTATCTTCGGCTTCAACAGGGAAGGGAGACTCTCAGAGCCTTATGTATTATTGGAGAGAGCACCATTCTTTCTGCCGCTCCAGCAGTCAGGCTCCATCCACACAGGAAACCACTCATTCTATAGCTTTGCTTATTGTCCTCACACTGTGTTCTCTTGCTGCTTTGGATTTTATCTCCCTCATAGAAACTCATCCTTAGCAGAATCCACAGCTCCCATCTTTCCCCCTGTCCACCATCACCAACCCACAGATCCCGGCATTGTTTAATCTTGAGCGTTCACCTCTGCTCAGTGTGCATGCAGTGAAGCATCCACCTTTACCCACTGCTCCTGATGCAGGTGCAAGTACCACAGGTCTCAAGTTGTCTGTGGTACTGTCCTGGCGAACATCCCTCAGTCTCTTGCAGGCAGAGGTCACACCTCTTCCTTCTCCTCATCTCCAGTACTGCCTTATGTTCCCATAGACTTAGCCAAAGACCTTGTTCCTTACTTGACTGGAACAACAAAATCAATCTAGGCATCTTTTGTTTCCTGTGGTAGACAGCATTCTCCTGATGTGATGGCTATGCTGTCAAAACTCAGCCCCAGCCCCCTTGCTGGGTCACTATTCAGTTTCTCTAATTGTCCAACACTTAGCTTCCCAGGATCCCCTGCTCTCTGCATCACTCCTTTGCCACTTCACTGGACCAACAGCACTAGCATACAGGCATATTTTAGTAACTTTAATCTTAAAGAACAAAACTTCTCCAGTTTCTGTCAACTTCTACTTCTCTGCCTAAAGCTGCAGCCAAATTTCTTAGCAGTCTTGTCAGTACTCACTCTTTGACATTTTACTTCATATTTCATTTTGAAGCCACTTCTGAATATTGCATTATCCAAAAAATTCCTTAGTCCCATCATTTGCACAGTGATCATTCATAGCCAGGCCTCAGCTTATTCTACCTTGGGAGCTTGGGTGGAGTAGAGAGTCCCCTCCCTGTTAAAGCAGGCTCTTCCTCTGGCTATTATGCTTGGCCAGATGTTCTGCCTTGCCTCCTATGAGCTTTAGTTTCTCGGCTGTCCTTATTTTGCCATGTCTTCTGGACCAGGATGTCATCAAATCCTATGGCTTTTCTAAGCACAGAGAAGGAAAGTGGGTACAACGTCTTCCACCTCTAATCAAACAGCTATTTGCAGTTGATACCTGCTAGGAGAAGGAAAATCAGTTTTCTTCAATGGAGTGGCCCAGGGTATGTCAACCACATCCCAGGACAGGCCCTGTGCTCAGAAATATTTAACCAACACAAAATAGACTCCATACTTTTATTGCTGTTACTATGATGTTTTTTTTTTCTGTTTTGTTTTGAGGGGGGGAGAGCACAAAGTTGGATAGACAAGGAGGGGAGGATCTGGAAGGACTTAGGGGGAGGAAAAAGAAGATAAAAAATTTAAATGTGGCAAATATAAATACTAGAATTAAACCCTCTAGCTTTGACTACAGTGTTCACATTACTCATAACAAGATTGTGCTTCTTCCCTGAGTTCAAGACTTCTATATTCAATTAGCTAGGTGGCATTAGTTTGTTGACATATATGATTGAAAAGGAACAACTGCTTTCCATCTCCCTACCTTCTCCTCTCCATCCCCTCCCAACATACTTACCTCTCACTGTCTCCATCTCAGTAACAACCATCTACCCATTGGCACTAAAACCCAAATCCTTTGATTCCCAATTCTCCTCTCCCTGGCTTTTATCAGTGATCTCCATATACTTTAACTTCAATATTACCAGTGTCCAACTATTCATCAACTCCTCCATTTCTATCTTAGGGTGGATCTGTGCTGCCTTTTACCTAGACAGTTACAATGCCTTGATAAGAGTCTCTGTGATTCATGGTTTTGGCATGCTCTGTTATTCTTAACTGAATAAAGAAGTCAGTTGGGGAAAGGCACACATGTTGTTTTTTAAAAGAAACTCCTGGAAAGTGCCTATAACATCGTCCTTCATATCTCCTAATCTTGGTGCAAGGGAGGATGGGAAATGGTGTTTTTATTTGATATAACTAAGTACTTCATGGGATTCTATTACTAGAGACAAAGAAAAAATAGTAGGGACCTAAATGGTGATCTTTGACCCAGAACAAACCTCTAAAACTAGTTTTAAGTTACATAGAAAGAGAGTTCAAATTAAGGAACGATAGAATCGTGTGATAAACAGTCGAGGCAGACAGGATGGCACATAGAGGGATCCCAAGAGATAAGGAGTGCATGGCTTGTTTGAGACCCTGTAGAAGCCCTGTATGGCTAGATTGTTGAGATCAGTAAGAGTCCCTGCTGCAGTAGGCCTATAGTGAAAGCCAAATATAGAGGTTAATTTGTATTTTCCAAACAATTTAGTATATATCATTTAATATTGGATTATACAGATTACAGTTTAATAGGTTAGTTGCTCAAAATGAAACTAACCAAGTAATTCTGTGGAATATTCTGGCAGTGAGGCAGTTACATTTAGGGCTCAGCCTGGGGATAGAGCTGAAGGGTAAAGGGCTTTGCCTCTTGGCTATCTGAGTACCTGTGCCTCTTCTCTTCTGTGAACCTCTGTTTCTTTATAAAATAGATGTAATAGATTACTGGCTGTGTCTCAGCTTTTCCCTGGTCTGGAGGGATGGCAATAGGAAAGGAGATGGGGAAAATGTGGTAAGGAGAAAAGGAAGGAAGGATGCTGGGAGTTGAGGATGGTACTTTGGAAGCACAGCACACAGAGGCAGCATTTGTGTCCCCAGAAAAAACCCATGCTGGGTTCTAGCAAATGAAATGGAAGAGAGCACTTCACCACCAGGTGTCTCCATCTCTGCACCAAAGTGAGGGCTTTGGAGCTTCCTTGAAACCATGTCAACAAAGTCAGAAAGAGTAAAGTTATTGATAGGCTTCCTGGGCTTCTTTTTTAAAAATTAAATTAGTATAGATGTCTTATTGTCTGATTAGTAAAAATAAGTTTGTCATTGGGGATTTTTATATACCTGCTGTCTTTTACTTTGATTATATGATGGGGTTATCTTCACAATGTACTAAAGCCACCCTTCTCCCCCTCTGGCCCCTGACACTGACCCTAAATAACTCCTTTTTAGACTTGATTTCTCTTTGAAAGATGACGAGAAACACAATCAAATCATCCTGGACCTGGCTGTCTACAGGTAAAGCATTTTTATTATACATTCATCTCATAGTCCTCCCATCAGATCTTTTTCTAAGTAGCAACCCCCTGAGTTCTGTAGCACAGAAGTGGAACTTGGTTTGCTCTTTTGAAGAAATATAGTGCTAAATGTAATTTTTAAAATATATTTCTTTTTTATTTTATATGCATAAATGCTTGCCTATACAAATGTATGTATACCATGTACATGCCTAGTGCCTACAGAGGTCAAAAGAGGGCAGTAGAGTCTCTGGAGCCGGTGTCACAGTTGGTCAAGAGCCATTGTACTTAAAACCTGAACCTAGGTCCTCTTGCAAGAGCAATAAGCACTCTTAGCCACTGAACCATCTCTACGTCCTTCACTGTAATGTTAAACACACAAAGATGAAAGGGGAAGGTGAATCAATAACCCCATAGTCCCATGGCTATGATCTCTCAAACCATACAGAAGGGGTTGAAATGATTCTCAGAGCTGTGCTGCTTTCTGATCCTCATACCCCAGGATTCCTTTGCTTCATGACTGTTGCTCTGACAGCCATCTTTGTTTTACAAAATACTGTGGCATAAGAATGAGCTTTGGTGGTGGGTGAGTCTTCTCTGCCTCATTCCATTGTAGAGCCCTTGATCTGGATTCTCTACTCTGAGATCCCCACATTATGGCTGGTTCTCAGTTGTACTTTATTCCAACAGACAGGTATGACCACATGGTAAGGTGACATGTTTACCCCTCAAGGTCATGACAGAGCATTATTACTCTCTTCTAAAGGTCCTGGGTTTTGACCCTTAACACTCTGCCTGTATTATCACTTACCCTTCCTGTAACATGAATCTCAAAGTGTCCAGGTCATTCTACCTTATTGCTTGACAGTGTTAGAATTGCCCCCACTGCCCTGGTGACTTCTGATCATTGTGTGGCCCATTCCATTCATACCCACTTTCTTGTGCCTGTGTCATTGTCATGTCAATGTCTCTATCCTTCAGCCTCTGAGAAGATGTCACCTTATGAGAGAGGACCCTGCCCACTGTCTGAGAAGGACAGAGCCTGCCTCTACTCAGAACTTCCATCACTCCTTGTCCTTCACTTGCTTTCTGACAAAGTCTAGATTTCCTGTGTTTTAAAATTCCAGCATCAGTGTTCGTTGGGCTGTAGCTTCCCAGTACCTCAAATAGTAGCCCATGCCTATTAGGAGGACCACAGATGCAGTGAATGAATGGCAACAATGGAGCTCATGAACACGTCCAAGCATGCCCTTGTAAAGGCCAGTGTGTTGTTAATGGCTACTTATGTGCTCTGTGTTACATTTGATTTTGCAGTAGCCATGGAAGGTGAGCGAGACACTTATTCTATAATGATCTAAAAGGCATATTTTCAGAGAGTGACTCCTGTCAACATAAACAGTAACTGGAGAAGCCAGAACACAATTGCTCAGGTCTCCTTCCAACTTTACTTTTTTAATTGTGGAAAAAAAATACACATAACATAAAATATATTATGCCAAGACATTTTGGAGTATACAATTCAGTTGCACTTGGTAAATTCACAGTGCTGTTTAACCATTTGACAGTGTCACCTCAACCCCATAGCCACCAAGCAGTCTTCATTTTTCCCTCCTCCTGGTCATCACTAATGTAAGATCTGTATCCTTAAATGAGCACCCAATAGAACTTTTATATAGATGGAGTCATATACTCTGACTATTTTCACTTACCATAATGACTTCATGGTTTATTACTCCCCCACATGTTAGAATTCCATTTTTTTCTGGCTATATAATATTCCATGGTGTGGTTATTGTACATACTGTTTATTTTTTTTAATTTATGGGTGTTTGTGTTCCTTCTACTTTGGCTGTGCTGAGTGGTAGTTAATCTTAGATGCTGTCCTCTTTTTCATACTATGCTCTTGCCCACTGCCTACTCCATTCTCTGCCTACTCACGGCTTGACCCATCCTGCCTTTGAAGGAAACTTCATCTTTCCCTCACTGGTTTCATCTCCTCTGTTCTTATAGCTCTCCAGCCTCCATTTCTGTTTTCTTTTTCTTTCTTTCTTTTTTTTTTTTTTGGAGGCGGGGAGGGGTAAGTATTCATAGTTCCACCCTTTTCAGTTTGTCTCATATTATTTAGGTTATTTCTGAAGTTTTAATTGCATTAAAATCCCTTGCTATCTGTGTCAGCACATGAGATTATAGATGAAGTTCAACCCATGCATCATGGATTATCCAGTCTTTCTTCAAAAACACTTACGGAATGTCTCCTCTGCAACAGGCATGAGGAGACTGTCACCCACATATTCCAGATACCCATGGCTCTTGTTTATCTATTGCCCTGTCAGGGGACACAGGCACTAAGCAGTCAGACTCCTCCTCGTGAGTAACCACAGAGGGAGAAAGGCTATGTGCAGGAAAACAAGCTAGAAAGAGAGCTCAGGGATATAGAATGCCAGTGTGGGGCTGGTGGTTGACAGCATGGGATGGCCAGTGAAATTTGCTAACCTGAGCAATGGAAACAGGGAGATGAGAAGTAGTTTGCTCTATAAAGAACTGGTAGGAAAAAAAAACAGACAGAGGAAGATCTTGAATGCAGAAGCAGATAAATACATGAGAAACTTGAGCATGGTGGAGGACTGTCCTCTTGTTAATATTATGATTTAAAAGTTAATGATGGAATTCTTGATTAACATGAACAGTCTAAGGAACACAACTCACATGCCTTGTAATTCTTGATTAACATGAGCAGTCTAAGGGACACAATTCATGTGCTTTCACAGCATTTCAGAGGGCAGGGTGTTCTTCATTGTTCAGAGGAACAAACAGGCTGAGAGGAATTCAGAAATGTGCTCTACTGGCTTGAAGCAGGAATCTATGGAGTGAATTTCTCAGAAGCCTCTCTGACCCTAAAGCCCACCAGCACCCTGGATGACTCTCCCTGTCTTAAAAGTTGAGATATTTGAATCATTGTCCCATTTTCTTACATTCAAAATCAGTTTTTAGGATGTAGTTACTTGGCAAAACTTGTTTTAATGTGTGAAATCTGGAGGGCCTTGGGTGGCTGCCGTCCCTGTTCAGTAGCTTGTCTCTTCTGGGACTGTGGGTATTCTACATACTGTTTCTACAAAGGAACTGCCCTTCTAGCAGCATTGGTCCAGTGCAGCTGTGCAACAGCTGCAGGGCATCAGAGGCATCCAAAAAAGCAGAGCCAGTGGCTGTTGGCCCAGAGTGTGGTGGATTCAGCATTCCTTGCTGCTGAAATCCTGGGGGCTTAAAATAAAATATTCATGGAAGAACATGACAAGCCATTTTTTTCTTTTGCAAACCTCTGGCATTTCAGACCTAATATATTTTTGGGCTAGGGGCAATCAATGCCAAGTATACTCATATGTCTAAAAATGAAATTGCTGATATATTGAATTTCCTTTGGACTAGGGATATTTAAGGCTAGTATTTTAGAGACAGTTTAGTGTGGACATTTAAAACTTTCTTCATCTAAATTGGTCTTATAATCATGCTTTCATGTTTTTACTTTTTTGAGCTGAATGGTTTTTTTTTTTTGCACAATTACAAGATGTGATATGCTTGATTTTGAAGGTACATGGATACTTCTTTAATTGAGGTGGATGTGCAGCCAACTTATGTTCGAGTAATGGTCAAAGGAAAGGTAAGCATAACTGTGGGATATCACCATTTTAAAAGATAAGTCTTGACCTAAGCCATGTGGTCCCTGTGTAAAAAAAAAAGAGAGAGAGAGAGAGAGAGAGAAAGAAAACCTAACTGGAAAAGCTAGAAACTCAGACAATTCACTGTTTGTTGGATATGTTCTTCATACCACAAGATGGTATGCAGTAGACATGGCTGCTACCTCCAGTATCTCAGGAACATGAGTGCCTTAAACCTGCACCTCCTGTGTTGCCATTTTTTTTTTAAAGTTCATGCCATAGCTGCAAAGTTCAAGTGAATGACTATTCTAAATGGTCACTCATGGCAACTCTGATTTTATCATTTTTAAAAAAGGATTTTTTTCCCTGATTCCGAGCCTGCATTTGGGTTAGCCCAGAGAGACATTAAAATGGAACTATACTGATGCTTTATACGTAAATGATCTTTCCACCCTAGATGGACAAATGAACACTTCATAGATTGTGGCTGGTGAATACTTTTTAGATTGTACATAAAACCAGCTAACACAGTTCATGTATATAAAGAGTAGTTTTAGAATGTATTTTAATGAGTCTAAACAGTTTTCTTAATTTAACACGTGTGTTATGAATTTGTAACAAAAACAGCCTTTGAGGTGGGCTTTTGTAATATGCCCCTGTTCCCTACACTTCCTTCTCATTTCCAGCCATTTCAGCTTGCCCTTTCTACAGAGGTCCAGCCTGACAGCAGCTCTGCTAAAAGGTCTCAGACAACAGGACATTTGCTGATCTGCATGCCCAAGGTAGGAAATGGCATTTGGACGAACTTCACATCTGAGTGTATTGGTTTCTGAAAGAGTGTGACTTGTTGTGGTTAACAGCAACTTCCGATCAGGATGACATTACTTGAGAGTAGCAGAAATACTCTCACAACTGCTCACGTACAAGGAAAAAGGATCCTGAGAAGAAACTGCTGAGAAGGAACACTGGAATATGACTGGGGCCCAAGGTGACTCACCCATCTAAACTTGACCAGCTCTGCAGACCAGAATCTAGATAGCACATGGAGAGATAGAATACAAGGTTCTTCTAAGTGAGACTGATCCTGATCATTCTGTGTGCTGCCTGGAAGTCTAGCTGGCCTGGGTGTTCTAAAGATTTCTAAGCATTCAGCTTAATAGTTTTGTAACTTTTGGAAAGTTACCAACACCTCTAGAGTTCTAGATTTTATGATTTTTAAGACTTATAAATATGAACATAACTCACAATATTGATAGCATTCCATGATATTAATAATATAATCTTTATAATTCAATATACATATTAATTTTCCTTAAATTTTATTCATTTGGAAGAAAACAGTTGATTCACTCTTTGTATTTTCATATGGTATTGGGTCATGTTGATTCAGTTCAGTATATTTATTGAATATCTCCCTACTATCAGCTGCTGGCTTGAAGATGAATATGAAACTTTAGATTTTTCCTGATTTTAATGGGGAGACATGGTTATAAGTATATAACTTTGCCACAGTCTGAGAAGAAATCATGGAAACATGTGGTAGAAATAGTTGGGTAACACGAATAGTTTGATAGAGAAGAGGTGAGTGACCAATTTTGAAAGGACAATTGACTGTGGTTCATGGAAAACAGAACAAATAAAGAAGACCGTATGAGACTGGAAAGTGAGTCTCTGTGTCTGCAGCAGAGGACAAATTCAGAAAGTAGAAGACCAGAAGGCATACAGAAAAGAATACATTGGTGACCTCAGACTGAAGCATCACTCTTGATGTTATTTCTTATTGTGGATACATTTGAAAAACCAGAGGCAGCTCCTTGATAAATCCAGGTTGAATAACATTTCCATCTTGATTTTATTCTTCAACATGATGAGTACATACTAGCATCCAACCAGATACTGCGCCAGGTACTGAATAAACTAAGAGAACAAAAACATTTAAACAAACAAACAAGATTATTTTAGATTGAGCTCAGCCCTGTGCTGAAGATATGTGAGAAAATAAGATTAAGAGGTTTGACTGAAGGCATGTGACTAGTCCTTTTAGATGGAAGGATCAAGAAAGGCACCATAGAAACATGACATTTGTGGTGGTTTGAATAAGAATGGCCCCCACAGATTCATTTATTTGAATGCTTGGTCACCAGGGAGTGTGATTGTTGGAAAGGATTAAAAGGATTAGGAGTGTGGTCTTGTTGGAGTAGAGGTAGTTTTGTTGGAGGAAGTATGTAACTACAGAGTGGGCTTTGAAGTTTCAAAAACTTATATCAGGTCTCTCTCTCTCTCTCTCTCTCTCTCTCTCTCTCTCTCTCTCTCTCTCTCTCTCTCTCTCCTTCACTCTCTTTCTGTCTGGAAGTCAGAAAGTAGGTCTCAGCTACTTCTTCAATGCCATGCCTGTCAGTGTGACTCCATGATCTCTGTCATGTTGATAATGGTTTAACGTGTGTTCGAGTGTGCACGTGTGTGTGTGTATGTGTGTGTGTGTGTGTGTGTGTGCGCGCGCGCTTATGTGCAGAGCCCAAAATGGCCCGAAGAGGGAGTCAGATGTCTTTGAGCTGAAGTTACAAGTAACTGTGAGCCTCCATACATGGATTCTGAAAACTGAAATCAAGTCCTTTGCCGGAGCGGTACACTCTATTTATTCCTAAGCCATCTTTTCAGTCTCCTAACCTGATTGAAAGAGGAAATTCTACCTTCTGTGAGGATTAAGAACCAAAAGGTAAAAAAAATGACTCAAAAATAGTGAAGTGAGAAATCTTTGCAGTGAGGGAACAATGTTGGGAGCTGCCAGACAGGTGATGAGTCACCAAGTTGAGATTATATTTTGAGGGGAATGCCAAAATGATTCAGGAAAGTCACGGATGCTTTAACTAACAGGTATATTCTGGTGTCATCTCAGTTGGCAAGGTCTCTAGAGGGATTCGAGGAAAGTGGGTCATAGGTTCACATAGTGATTTAAATAACAAATGCCACAGGACATCTAGCTGATATCTCAGGTAGGCATTCACATCCATCAGTCTTGAGCTCAGTGGAAACAACTGGTTAGAAGTTGGAAATAATGAAGAAAGAGATGGTAGATAGGAAATGGGGTTGCTGAAAATGTTTCTATCGGGGTACAGATGGAGCAGGAAAGAGTTTAGGGTGGAGCAGTGGGGACAAAGCTGCATTTTGAAGTTGAGGAAAGAGCCAGCATGCAGCATTATATAAATAATCAGGGAATTGGGAATACTGACAAATGTCCAAAGTACCAGGAAAGTCTACAGGATAAACCTTTTCAAGAAGGAAGCTGAGCCTGAGGAGGACACATACGGGTTCACTGGACTTGTCAAAATAGAGGCCACCATGGTGACAGTCATCTCAGTGGGAGGGAGAAAACTGTAAGAATCAGAAGCATGGCAGAAACTTCAGACAACTGATTTTGGAAATGTTGCTCAAAATGGGAATCAAGTAACAAGCTAGGGACTATCCAGGGATGAAGAGTCAAGGGAGAGCTTTGAGCATATAGATAGTTTATAAATGACTCCTTGAATGTTGACTGGAAATTGAAGATAAAAATACAGTCTGTGCTTCCCTGGTAGATTAAAGTTCTGGCATTTACAACTTCTAAAGAATGGAAGGATTGTCTCTGCTTACTTTTGGATTTTGTGCAATTTTCCTTTGATCTTGAAGTTGAACATCTGGGACAGAGCTTGATACTGTGATAGGCTTAACACAGGTGAGAGCTCTGAAAAAAAATTTAAAGGAGTCTGACTTTAAAATTTTACTTGTCACTGTGAAGTATCCAGATTCTTTATTACAATCTGAGTGAACTAAAGTGTTTTCTGTTGCTGTTTGTAGAATTTCACTCCAAAACTTACTTTAACCATGAAGAAACAATTTGTCTTTTAGAGGAAAATAGAAGAGTAGAGAGGCTGAGTCAGGGTCCTTCTCAAATGTCTGGTTACTTTCAATTAAACTTCTCTTATCAGATGAGCACAGGAAGTAACAAGTATCACACTTCTTGCTTACTCTACCCCCACCTCGAATGAATGAAATAGAAATGAGCAGAAATCAAAGATGCAGGGAGAGAACAAAGCCTCTTCAGAATAAGTAGTCCAATTAAATGAAGAGCCATCTAGTTTTGATTAGCCTCAATCTGAAAGATGAAACCAATGTGGTTAAAGGGATGATGCCATTTTATTGACCTCTCCCATTAGACCTTATCCTTTGAGCTAGGGTGTAGAGTTACCATCTTCAGTACCCCTTAGGTTTCCAGAAGAATAATAGATAAACCAGCAACACGTTTCCTTTGCCAGGGAAAGAAATGATAATGGGGAGTGGGTGTCTGCAAGGAAGTATATAAATTTGATTAACCCATAAGGCTTCCACAGTGATTGAATAGTCCTTTAATTTTTATAGCCAATTCCCCCAACAGATTGACCAAAGGTCATCAATTATGTATTTTTATTCTGAGGGAAAAAATAAAAAGTAAAATTTGTTGTCATGCAAGAGAATAACAAACAGTACTTGAGGATCATGTTGTTCTTGGTGGCTGTAGCAAATTAAAGGCGTGTGCCTATATTAACTAGAACATATCTACAGGGAAATCTGAAAGAACACATAATTACCTCCATACTCATTACAGGCATTTGTGTGATACCATGAGCATCAACCCCCTTCACCCCCAGTTCCCACTCATTTATTTGGAAACTTCCAGTGTAACTGACAAGGGGAAGATGAAATTATAACTGTCATTCTTAAAGGGAAAGCTAGAGACATGACTAAGTACCTTGTTTAGGGTGGCAGGCGATGGAACCAAAAAGTCTCTGTTGTCACTGTTTACGAGTGTTTTAAATAAACACTTCCTCATGCTTGCACTGCCTTTTGTGGTAGTGGTTGTTGTTATCATTGTTGTTTTTGGGGTAAGTCTTATTTCTATAACCCAATGAGACTGAAACTTAGGATCTTTTTATTCTTGCCTCCTGAAAACTAGGATTTCTTCTTGTTTTCATAGGTGCCTAAATGTTGCATGTTAAAACATAAAAGTCACAACAAATGGCTTATTAAAAGAAGAATGGAGGTGAGATGAGGCAGGTAGACCACGTAGAGCTGGTTCTTGTTTGTCTTCAGTAGTAAAGTTAGATAATGTTTTCTTTGAAGGATTGTTTCTTAAAAATTATCTGAAAGGCATTCACATGTAGATAAGCCATCTTCTATCACTGCTAAGAGAAGGCACTGAAATCAGACTTCTGAGAATAACCAACCTCTTGCCTAAAGTTAGTCCTTTTTCATTCTTAAGCACATAAACTTGACAACAATTATTTTTTTTCTAAAAATCATCAAATGCTAATAAATAGAACTAACTTCATTTAAGTTATGATTAAAGTGAATGCTACTAAAAGCTAACACCTTCATAATGTTCCTTCTCACTAAAACATTTAAAGTAGTGACCTTGAATCCAGAGAGTTATGTCCTGGGTCTGAATTTGCTGGCTTACCCAGTAGTTGCATGAGTCGGACCTGTATTATAATTACTAAGGAAAACCCTTGGAATATTAAAACATATTGTAAGAGTAAACCTCAGTATATATCCATGAGCAAATTGATTCAATTCATATAGATCTCTATCATATCTATTGTATTGTCATACACAGGTATATGCACATTTGGCAAGGGGTAGATGAGCCTGGAAGACATTATGCTAAGTGAGACAAGCCAGGCACAGAAAGAACACATGCAAGCTTATTTCTATGTAGAATGTTTCTGAGAATCAAATACAGAGAGCTAGAAAACAAAATGATGGTGAT